TTATTTCGAACGTTCGAAAAGATACGACTGAGCACTGCAAACGCAGCTGATAAACTGCATCAACTGTGGCAACATTCAAACCCAATGACTTCATTGGAAATATTGGCACGTTTTTAAATTGTGTGTGTTTTGTTTAGATTTTTTGTTTACATTTTATGGAGTTCGAATCTGTTGTGTGCTGTATATTCCAAACTGGAATTTCCAGTGTTTATAATGGAGAGTAAATTATTTTATTTACAGTTAGCGAGCTTTAACATGCGAGAGCATGCATGTGCTTTTTCTGAGAAATGTTAACGTTATGGAGATAACGAGTCATATTCGACTAGTTTGATATGGTATTTAAAATCATCGTCATGTAATTACATTTTATGTTAACTAAGTTAGAGTTATGTTAAATTGAAGTTTAAAATTGTAACTGTTAAATTTTTTTTAATTAAATAAAATCATTTTAAAACCAATCTATGATGCTAAATTATAAACATTTTAATTCATCTGATTTATTTATTGCTACCATGCTAGGCCGGTGCTTCAAACTTAACGCTACTTAAACGCGAATACCCTATATTTAAAAATACAGTCTAATCTAGTCTGCAGTCTAGTCTATGGTCTAGTCTATAGTCTAGTCTATAGTCTAGTCTATAGTCTAGTCTATAGTCTAGTCTATAGTCTAGTCTATAGTCTAGTCTATAGTCTAGTCTATAGTCTAGTCTATAGTCTAGTCTATAGTCTAGTCTATAGTCTAGTCTGTAGTCTAGTCTATAGTCTAGTCTATAGTCTAGTCTATAGTCTAGTCTATAGTCTAGTCTAGTCTATAGTCTAGTCTATAGTCTAGTCTATAGTCTAGTCTATAGTCTAGTCTATAGTCTAGTCTATAGTCTAGTCTATAGTCTAGTCTATAGTCTAGTCTATAGTCTAGTCTATAGTCTAGTCTATAGTCTAGTCTATAGTCTAGTCTATAGTCTAGTCTATAGTCTAGTCTATAGTCTAGTCTATAGTCTAGTCTATAGTCTAGTCTATAGTCTAGTCTATAGTCTGGTCTATAGTCTAGTCTATAGTCTAGTCTATAGTCTAGTCTATAGTCTAGTCTATAGTCTAGTCTATAGTCTAGTCTATAGTCTAGTCTATAGTCTAGTCTATAGTCTAGTCTATAGTCTAGTCTATAGTCTAGTCTATAGTCTAGTCTATAGTCTAGTCTATAGTCTAGTCTATAGTCTAGTCTATAGTCTAGTCTATAGTCTAGTCTATAGTCTAGTCTATAGTCTAGTCTATAGTCTAGTCTGTAGTCTAGTCTATAGTCTAGTCTATAGTCTAATCTATAGTCTAATCTATAGTCTAGTCTACAGTCTAGTCTATAGTCTAGTCTAGTGTATAGTCTAGTCGATAGTCTAGTCTATAGTCTTGTCTATAGTCCAGTCTATAGCCTAGTCTATAGCCTAGTCTATAGCCTAGTCCATAGTCTAGTCTATAGCCTAGTCTATAGCCTAGTCTATAGTCTAGTCTATAGTCTAGTCGATAGTCTAGTCGATAGTCTAGTCGATAGTCTAGTCTATAGTCTAGTCCATAGTCTAGTCTATAGTCTAGTCTATAGTCTAGTCTATAGTCTAGTCTATAGTCTAGTCTATAGTCTAGTCTATAGTCTAGTCTTTAGTCTAGTCTACAGTCTAGTCTATAGTCTAGTCTATAGTCTAGTCGATAGTCGAGTCTATAGTCTAGTCTATAGTCTAGTCTATAGTCTAGTCGATAGTCTAGTGTATAGTCTAGTCTATAGTCTAGTCTGTAGTCTAGTCTATAGTCTAGTCTATAGTCTAGTCTATAGTCTAGTCTATAGTCTAGTCTATAGTCTAGTCGATAGTCGAGTCTATAGTCTAGTCGATAGTCTAGTCTATAGTCTAGTCTATAGTCTAGTCTATAGTCTAGTCTATAGTCTAGTCTATAGTCTAGTCTATAGTCTAGTCTGTAGTCTAGTCTATAGTCTAGTCTATAGTCTAGTCTATAGTCTAGTCTTTAGTCTAGTCTATAGTCTAGTCGATAGTCTATTCTATAGTCTAGTCTATAGTCTAGTCGATAGTCTAGTGTATAGTCTAGTCTATAGTCTAGTCTGTAGTCTAGTCTATAGTCTAGTCGATAGTCTAGTGTATAGTCTAGTCTATAGTCTAGTCTGTAGTCTAGTCGATGGTATAGTATATAGTCTAGTCTATAGGCTAGTCTGTAGTCTAGTCTATAGTCTAGTCTATAGTCTAGTCTATAGTCTAGTCTATAGTCTAGTCTATAGTCTAGTCTTAGTCTAGTCTATAGTCTAGTCGATAGTCTAGTCTATAGTCTAGTCTATAGTCTAGTCTATAGTCTAGTCTATAGTCTAGTCTATAGTCTAGTCTATAGTCTAGTCGATAGTCTAGTCTATAGTCTAGTCTATAGTCTAGTCGATAATCTAGTCTATAGTCTAGTCTATAGTCTAGTCTATAGTCTAGTCGATAGTCTAGTGTATAGTCTAGTCTATAGTCTAGTCTGTAGTCTAGTCTATAGTCTAGTCTATAGTCTAGTCTATAGTCTAGTCTATAGTCTAGTCTATAGTCTAGTCTATAGTCTAGTCTATAGTCTAGTCTATAGTCTAGTCTATAGTCTAGTCTATAGTCTAGTCTATAGTCTAGTCTATAGTCTAGTCTATAGTCTAGTCTATAGTCTAGTCTATAGTCTAGTCTGTAGTCTAGTCTATAGTCTAGTCTATAGTCTAATCTATAGTCTAATCTATAGTCTAGTCTACAGTCTAGTCTATAGTCTAGTCTAGTGTATAGTCTAGTCGATAGTCTAGTCTATAGTCTTGTCTATAGTCCAGTCTATAGCCTAGTCTATAGCCTAGTCTATAGCCTAGTCCATAGTCTAGTCTATAGCCTAGTCTATAGCCTAGTCTATAGTCTAGTCTATAGTCTAGTCGATAGTCTAGTCGATAGTCTAGTCGATAGTCTAGTCTATAGTCTAGTCCATAGTCTAGTCTATAGTCTAGTCTATAGTCTAGTCTATAGTCTAGTCTATAGTCTAGTCTATAGTCTAGTCTATAGTCTAGTCTTTAGTCTAGTCTACAGTCTAGTCTATAGTCTAGTCTATAGTCTAGTCGATAGTCGAGTCTATAGTCTAGTCTATAGTCTAGTCTATAGTCTAGTCGATAGTCTAGTGTATAGTCTAGTCTATAGTCTAGTCTGTAGTCTAGTCTATAGTCTAGTCTATAGTCTAGTCTATAGTCTAGTCTATAGTCTAGTCTATAGTCTAGTCGATAGTCGAGTCTATAGTCTAGTCGATAGTCTAGTCTATAGTCTAGTCTATAGTCTAGTCTATAGTCTAGTCTATAGTCTAGTCTATAGTCTAGTCTATAGTCTAGTCTATAGTCTAGTCGATAGTCGAGTCTATAGTCTAGTCTATAGTCTAGTCGATAGTCGAGTCTATAGTCTAGTCTATAGTCTAGTCTATAGTCTAGTCGATAGTCTAGTCTATAGTCTAGTCTATAGTCTAGTCTGTAGTCTAGTCTATAGTCTAGTCTATAGTCTAGTCTATAGTCTAGTCTTTAGTCTAGTCTATAGTCTAGTCGATAGTCTATTCTATAGTCTAGTCTATAGTCTAGTCGATAGTCTAGTGTATAGTCTAGTCTATAGTCTAGTCTGTAGTCTAGTCTATAGTCTAGTCGATAGTCTAGTGTATAGTCTAGTCTATAGTCTAGTCTGTAGTCTAGTCGATGGTATAGTATATAGTCTAGTCTATAGGCTAGTCTGTAGTCTAGTCTATAGTCTAGTCTATAGTCTAGTCTATAGTCTAGTCTATAGTCTAGTCTATAGTCTAGTCTTTAGTCTAGTCTATAGTCTAGTCGATAGTCTAGTCTATAGTCTAGTCTATAGTCTAGTCTATAGTCTAGTCTATAGTCTAGTCTATAGTCTAGTCTATAGTCTAGTCGATAGTCTAGTCTATAGTCTAGTCTATAGTCTAGTCGATAATCTAGTCTATAGTCTAGTCTATAGTCTAGTCTATAGTCTAGTCGATAGTCTAGTGTATAGTCTAGTCTATAGTCTAGTCTGTAGTCTAGTCTATAGTCTAGTCTATAGTCTAGTCTATAGTCTAGTCTATAGTCTAGTCTATAGTCTAGTCTATAGTCTAGTCTATAGTCTAGTCTATAGTCTAGTGTATAGTCTAGTCTATAGTCTAGTCTTTAGTCTAGTCTATAGTCTAGTCGATAGTCTAGTCTATAGTCTAGTCTATAGTCTAGTCGATAATCTAGTCTATAGTCTAGTCTATAGTCTAGTCGATAGTCTAGTGTATAGTCTAGTCTATAGTCTAGTCTGTTGTCTAGTCTATAGTCTAGTCTATAGTCTAGGCGATAGTCTAGTCTATAGACTAGTCTATAATCTAGGCGATAGTCTATTCTATAGTCTAGTCTATAGTCTAGTCTATAGTCTAGTCTATAGTCTAGTCTATAGTCTAGTATATAGTCTAGTCTATAGTCTAGTCTATAGTCTAGTCTATAGTCTAGTCAATAGACTATTCTATAGTCTAGTCTATAGACTAGTCTATAGTCTAGTCTATAGACTAGACTATAGTCTTTATTTATAGTCTGGTCTATAGTCTAGTCTATAGTCTAGTCTATAGTCTAGTCTATAGAGTAGTCTATAGTCTAGTCTATAGTCTATTCTGGACTACTTTCGGTACCCTAGTCTGTAATTGAGATTCAATGTTCTTAATTTCGGAGTTCAGTTATCCAAATTTTATAACCAAACTAAAAATCTTAAAGATTCCAAAAAAAATGTGAAGCTTTCTTCATCTTTGTTGATCTTCACATCTGCCATTCAACTTGCAAAAAATAAACATTACGAAATGACTTCATAACCGAAACATGTTTTTCAAAAAGTCATTTAAATACTTAATACACATATTGGACATTTTGCTCATTTAGTTAATGGTTTGTAGCTCCAGAAAAAACTAAAAAGCTTTACAAATTCTTTGTACAACAATCAACTCACCTCACCGACACGATGACGTTCCTTTAGCATGACAGCGATCTCTGTAAATTTACATAGGAATTGCCGTTCAAATGTTGTCAAACAACCGTGATAGATCTTCACGAGAACGTCACGTGCCTCACGTATTAAAACTGCACGTGTTGTTTGAGTAAAGACGGGATAAATGCATGCAAGATGCCTGTCAATCAGAGCAGCAATATGAGACTCCTGGAAGACAAGAGGAATGACGATGTTGATCGTTAAAGGAGAAGGAAAAACAAATTGTAACAGGGCAGATTTTGAGGTCTTAAGACAACAAAGTTAAAGTATTATTAGAAAAAAAAAAAAATAGAAACAAGTTAATAGTTTTATACAAGTACGTACCATTTGTTTAGAATCTACTAATTGTTCTACATGTTTTTCATCATCATCCATATTATCGTGGTCATGCTCTTGTTGTTTTTGTTGTTGGGCCATTGACTTTAAATGTTTCTTTTCCTGTCGTGTTTCAATTTGAACAGAATTTCCAACAACATTTATGTTTGTTGAAGTATTACGACTGCGAGCTTGTTTTGTAATTTTCTTTGTTGTTCCTGCTGCTGTTTTAGTTAATGCAGAACCTAGACCAAAATCAATATCTTCATACGATTCATCAACAACGTCATCATCATCGTCGTCGTCATCGTCGTCGTCATCGTCAACATTATTTTCGTCTTCCATTTTCATCACATTCCCAAGGGCACAATTAGTGGAACTACCTTTGTTGACGGACTCACTAGCACCACCCAATGAAGACAATCTATTGTTTGGAAAATCCGTTACTTTAGCTGATGTTGTTTCTGTTTTTGGCCCCAAGTCTTGACTGACATCTAGCTCATTTATTGTAGACATTGTTGATTTTGGATCATGACCTGTATTATTGTGATATTCTTGCATTTGATTATGCAAACCAACTGCCAACCAGCGATCTTTACATTTTTTCAAATAATTACGTACACGCGATGATTTACTACCACCGCCAACACTACGACGCACCGCCATTTCATTGATCACTTGGTAGTGTTGCTCATACTCTTCTCCTACAGATTTTGGTATCATTTCGTTGTTGCGCTTATGTTGCTCCTCAAACGTTGTTTCTTCGATTTCTTCTTCGGCATCTTCTTCACGTGCAATTGGTGCTGTTTGATTAGTTGGTATTGTTGTCGTTGGTTTTGTTGTTGACATGACTTCATTGTTGTTATGAATTGTTGCTAAATTTTTAGAATTATTTACAGATACAGATATGCTTGTCGTAGGTGTATGATTGACTACTAATATTTCGTTTAAATCTCGTAGATTTTCTTCGTTTTCGTTGTATGTTTTCGATACTTTGGCTGGGGTATGTTCTACGTTTGTTGGAGGATTGGTGTTATTCTGTAAAGGTAAGTATAGAAAGTAGTTAGTTATTAAAAACTATTATGCTATGTTGTAATAAGTGATGAATAAATAAGTAGAACTGAACTAGAACTGAACTAGAACTGAACTAGAACTGAACTAGAACTGAACTAGAACTGAACAAGAACTGAACTAGAACTGAACTAGAACTGAACTAGAACTGAACTAGAACTGAACTAGAACTGAACTAGAACTGAACTAGAACTGAACTAGAACTGAACTAGAACTGAACTAGAACTGAACTAGAACTGAACTAGAACTGAACTAGAACTGAACTAGAACTGAACTAGAACTGAACTAGAACTGAACTAGAACTGAACTAGAACTGAACTAGAACTGAACTAGAACTGAACTGAACTAGAACTGAACTAGAACTGAACTGAACTAGAACTGAACTAGAACTGAACTAGAACTAGAACTGAACTAGAACTGAACTAAACTGAACTAGAACTGAACTAGAACTGAACTAGAACTGAACTAGAACTGAACTAGAACTGAACTAGAACTGAACTAGAACTGAACTAGAACTGAACTAGAACTGAACTAGAACTGAACTAGAACTGAACTAGAACTGAACTAGAACTGAACTAGAACTGAACTAGAACTGAACTAGAACTGAACTAGAACTGAACTAGAACTGAACTAGAACTGAACTAGAACTGAACTAGAACTGAACTAGAACTGAACTAGAACTGAACTAGAACTGAACTACTAGAACTGAACTAGAACTGAACTAGAACTAGAACTGAACTAGAAATGAACTAGAACTGAACTAGAACTGAACTAGAACTGAACTAGAACTGAACTAGAACTGAACTAGAACTGAACTAGAACTGAACTAGAACTGAACTAGAACTGAACTAGAACTGAACTAGAACTGAACTGAACTGAACTAGAAACTGAACTAGAACTGAACTAGAACTGAACTAGAACTGAACTAGAACTGAACTAGAACTGAACTAGAACTGAACTAGAACTGAACTAGAACTGAACTAGAACTGAACTAGAACTGAACTAGAACTGAACTAGAACTGAACTAGAACTGAACTAGAACTGAACTAGAACTGAACTAGAACTGAACTAGAACTGAACTGAACTGAACTAGAACTGAACTAGACTGAACTAGAACTGAACTAGAACTGAACTAGAACTGAACTAGAACTGAACCTAGAACTGAAACTAGAACTGAACTAGAATGAACTAGAACTGAACTAGAACTGAACTAGAACTGAACTAGAACTGAACTAGAACTGAACTAGAACTGAACTAGAACTGAACTAGAACTGAACTAGAACTGAACTAGAAACTGAACTAGAACTGAACTAGAACTGAACTAGAACTGAACTAGAACTGAACTGAACTGAACTAGAACTGAACTAGAACTGAACTAGAACTGAACTAGAACTGAACTGACTAGAACTGAACTAGAACTGAACTAGAACTGAACTAGGAACTGAACTAGACTGACTAGAACTGAACTAGAAACTGAACTAGAACTGAACTAGAACTGAACTAGGAACTGAACTAGAACTGAACTAGAACTAGAAATACTAGAACTGAACTGAACTGAACTAGACTGAACTAGAACTGAACTAGAACTGAACTAGAACTGAACTAGAACTGAACTAGAACTGAACTAGAACTGAACTAGAACTGAACTAGAACTGAACTAGAACTGAACTAGAACTGAACTAGAACTGAACTAGAACTGAACTAGAACTGAACTAGAACTGAACTAGAACTGAACTAGAAACTGAACTAGAACTGAACTAGAACTGAACTAGAACTGAACTAGAACTGAACTAGAACTGAACTAGAACTGAACTAGAACTGAAACTAGACTACTAGAACTATTAGAACTGAACTAGAACTGAACTAGAACTGAACTAGAACTGAACTAGAACTGAACTAGAAACTGAACTAGAAACTGAACTAGAACTTTACTAGAACTGAACTAGAACTGAACTTGAACTGAACTAGAACTGTATTCGAACTGAACTAGAACTGAACTACAACTGAATTGGCGTAACGAAATGCTAGAATCGTTCATATGTTTCGCAATGAAATTCACTGTTTTAAATATTCTAATTATACCCTACACCACTTTAGTGGGGAGGGTATATTGGATTTGTGCTGATGTTTGTAACATATAAAAATATTCGTCCTAGACCCACCTTAAAGTATACCAATCGGCTTAGAATCGTTTTCTGAGTCGATTAAGCTATGTCCGTCCGTCCGTCTGGCTGGCTGGCTGGCTGGCTGGCTGGCTGGCTGTCCATGTAAACCTTGTGCGCAAGGTACAGGTCGCAATTTTCAAGATAATTGGATGAAATTTGGCACGCACGTTTTATTTGGCCCAAGGACGAAGCCTATTGAAAATGGTTAAAATCGGTCCATTATTTCACCTAGCCCCCATAGAACAGAACCACCCGAAAAGGGCTTCTGAGCTCATAATTATGTTAAATATACAGATATATCGATAAAATACGGCACAACTAAGTTTTATGGAAGTCTTGATAACCCTTCCAAATTTCATAAAGATCGGCCCCCATTTGACCCTAGCTCCCATACAAAGTCCCCTTCAGAAAATTACTTCAATGTCCCAAATTAACTTATAAACACAAATATCGCGATGAAATTCAGCACAATAAAATATTATGTAAATATAAATATATTCACAAAATTTTATCGGGCTTGGTCCATATTTGCCCCTAGCCCCCATATAAAGCCTCTTTCAGAAAATTAGTTTTTCATCCATAAATTGCTTAAATGTATCGGAACAAGGGAATATTGAAGATAAATGCGATATTATGAAAAATAAATCACATTTAATATTCATAACTGGTGTAGGGTATCATATGGTCGGCCACGCCCGACTATACTTTCTTACTTGTTTTTTATTACGTTTACATACATATGTTTTTAAATTATAGTATTTATATTATTCTAAATTTTTTTGAAGCAATTTCTACCACAACATGTTAAACAACAATAGACTACTTTAAATTATTTAAAATTATTCTAAAATGCTTTGTAGTTTTACCTACAAATGTGCAAATACATACATATTTTAGTATGTATTTCATATGTATGTACATATTTTCCAGTATAAAGAAAATTTTAAATTGAGGACATTTATTGATCGTCTTATAATTTGCTAGACACATGAAAATAAAGCAAAAAATACACAAAAAGCTAATATACCAAACAATATTTGTAGAAAAATGTTGTAAAAAGAACAAGTGTTTTTTAGCCAACACCACATGTCGTTATGTAGAACAAATATCGAAGGAAAACTCCAACAGACAATGTAAGGCCCAAGCCTAAAAATAAACTAACAACAAGACAACATAACACCAACACCTCAAATGATGTCATGTCCGAGGAGAGGGTGGTACAAAAATTTAATTCAATATTATATGTAGCATATGTGTGCAACACATTTGTTGCATGTACAAATAATTGACAGCCATAAAAATAACACAACGAAAAAAAGGGCAACAAAACTTTATATGAGTTCATATAAACAATGTAAGAATATTTATACAAATTTACGTCCAAGTATATGCTAATAAAACGTCATATTGATTTTTTTTTTCTTTTTGATGCCGGAATTTTATAATTGACGTAGGTCAAGAGTATTTGTCTCGAAACTAATGTAATACACTTCACTTTCAGGTTTATTTGGAACATTACACAAGGGAAATATTCAATTCAATTATATATTTATGTAGCATATTACTTTTATTATAGTTTATGTGAGGCCATAGTTAAGTTTCTTTAATTACTTTTTAGTTTCCTTTAATATTATTTAAGTGTCACTGCGACAAAACAGAAACTTTTTGAAAACTATTTTTATAACACTATTATTAAACTGTTTTATTTTTAATACACACTTCTGCTGGTGGCACTAATTTAGACAATAAATTATTTTAACTTGTTTGTTGTTTGTTCTTGCTAATAGTTAGACATTTCCTAGGAAATGCTCTAAGTTTTTATCACTATTCTCAAAAGCTTTTGAGAATAGTGATGAGAGTTTTTAATAAAGTTAAGAAATATTTTAAACAAAAGATGGCGCCTACAGATCTAATATGGTCATGCGCAAAGTTAAATGTTTAATTTCAGAATTTTTCCAAATATTTTAAAACACTACTACACATTTTGGAGTTTTCTTTAGTCTTAGTGTCTATTTCTTTGTAAAAAGCTTTCACGAAAAATCGAAAAGTTATCTTTTCTGTTCAAAAAAAAAGCATTAGTTTTTCTGGATCATTTAGAATTTCATGAAGACCCAGAAAATATAAACTCTGTTTTCGATGGCTCAAAAAAGTATTTACGATTTTTATACCCTCCACCACCATCAGTGGTGATAGAGGGTATATATAAGTTTGTCGTTCCGTGTGTAACACCAAGAAATATTCATCTAAGACCCAACAAAGTATATATATTCTGGGTCCTTATCAAATTCTGAGTCGATTTAGCTATGTCCGTCTGTCCGTCTGTCTGTCTGTCTGCCTAAAACACGCTCACGTTAAAACTAAGCAAAGGAAATCAACCAAATTCACCCAAAGTATTTATTATTATCCTAAGCAGTTTGGTATTGAAAATCAGCAAAATCGGTTCACAACGTAAAAAGTTATGAGTAAAAATTTCAGACTACCTCGAAAAAAATTACGTTTTTTCATAATTCTTTTGAAGTTTTCTCAGAAACTATCAAAGATATTTCGATGAATTTCGTCACTCATTATTTTTTCAGGCCAGTAATCAATTATATTCAAGATCTTTACAATCGATCCAATATTTCTCATAGCCCCCATACAAAGGTACATATTCCCGGAAATTAGTTTATTGTTAATAACTCCCTCAAATATTTCGGTATCAACACAAAATTTTGTACATGAAAATATAATATGAACAGAAATCTTACTGTCAACGTAGATCTCAGTCGGTCTACAATTGGTCATAGCTCCCATATAAGGTCCACTTCCGAAAATCACCTAAACGCACATATTTCATTGATGAAGAAAGCTATTGTGATAAAATTCGAGTTAAATGTGTTTTGTGTACATAAAAATCAATCTACAAAATTTTTTACGGATCGGTCCATTATTGGTCATAGCTCCCATATAAGGCCCACTTCCGAAAATCATTTAAAAGCTCATATTTCATTGTCAAATAAAGCTATCTTGATAAAATTCGACACAAATATGTTTTGTCTTTATATGAATCACTCTACGAAATTTTTTCCTGATAGGCTTCCATAGAGGGTCCACTTACGAAAATCAGTTAAACGCATATATTTCTTTGAATTATGAAGCTATCGGTTTTGTGACCATATAAATCATTCTACCAAATTTTTTTCCGGATTGGTCTATATATGGTAATAGCTCCTATATAAGGTCCACTTCAAAAAAATCACTTAAATAAAGATATCTTTTCAAATAAAGATATCTTGATAAAATTCAATACAAATAAGTTTTGAGTAATGTCATATCTCCTATACACATAAAGTCCACTTCCAAAACGCACATATTTCATTAATTAATACATCTATTGTAGTAAAATTCGACTTGAACTCTTATTTTTTTTTTTTTTTTGGCATATAAATCACTATACGAAATTTTTTCTTATCGGTCGATAATTGGTCTCAACTCCCATTTCCGAAAATAGCTCAAATGCACATTGACAATCATAGTTATCGAGATAAAATTCGTCATAAATGTATATATAAATCATTCTACGGAATTTTTTTCCGGATCGGTCCATAAGTTGTCTTAGCTTCCATATAAGGTATACTTCTGAAAATCACTTAATACCACTTAATTCGCTATTAAATGATTATATATCCGGATAAAATTCAAAATGAATATGTTCTGTGTATAGATAAATCATTCCATTAACATGTTTTCGAACTGGACGGCCAGTGCCTATTAATATAAATTTTTCTGGAACTAATTAAAATTAGTTTGACATATGTTAGTACCCTCAATACGGAAACAAAAATTTTGCCAAGTTATCTAAAGATTAGATAGTTAAATGGGTTTTAATAAAAAGTAGCTTGCTGGTGGAGGGTATTTAAGATTCGTCATAGCCGAATATAGCACTCTAACTTGTTCCTTATATTATGATCCAAGACATTTTCCCACGATAATTTTTCTTAAATTTTATATAAGTATTAAATAATAATAACACCCAAACATTTGTTTTATTAGTAAATAAATAATAAACTAACTAAAAACCAACACATACACACACATACATAAATATTTATTTATATAAATGGCAGGTGTCTTTCTTAATAATAACTTTTCCCTCCTTACGCATTAAATTTCCAATTTCTGCCGGCCATAAAAATTTATCATATTTCTGCCAATCCAATAATTCAATACATATTTCCCCATTTCCTTTCCAAAAAAAAAAATATATATCTACAATTTCTGATAACAGACGATAAGGATTTCATTTTATATTTTTGCTCCTAAAGTAATTAATCTTGAAACCACGTTCGATTAAACAATAGTTGAAATCCTAAATCGTTAGTTAGTTTATTTTTTTCAATAATATTTTTCGTTTGCAACGTATAATAACGATTTTATTTGTAATTTTTTATTGGTTAAAGTCATCTATAAACCATAATAATTTGTAAGATGTTAAGCTTTATTAGCCAACCACACACAGAGTTGTCGTCGTCATCATCGTCTTAAAAACATGACAACAGCAGCAGCAGCAACAGCAATAACAGCCATGTTGCAGACTATCATTGCCTGCAACAGCAGCCATAGACGTACAACAAAAGATTACAATGAATGGAGGCAGTGATGAATATCATTAAATACACAGCGATATGAGTGCTGTGGCAAGTTTAAGAAAAAATATTAAACTAAATCCTAAAGATATAAAGCGATATTCGACACACACACACATTTAGTCGTTTATAATACGACACAGGCATGGGAAATTCAGTACATTGGTACTTTTTTCAGTACTTTTTCATATCGCGGCACCCTTACAACAGATTCGCTACTTTTTCTAACTAATAAGCTTTTGATTAGTAGTCCATAGTCTATAGTCTAGTCTATAGTCTAGTCTATAGTGTAGACTATAGTCTAGTCTATAGTCTAGTCTATAGTCTAGTCTATAGTCTAGTCTATAGTCTAGTCTATAGTCTAGTCTATAGTCTAGTCTATAGTCTAGTCTATAGTCTCTCTATAGTCTAGTCTATAGTCTAGTCTATAGTCTAGTCTATAGTCTAGTCTATAGTCTAGTCTATAGTCTAGTCTATAGTCTAGTCTATAGTCTAGTCTATAGTCTAGTCTATAGTCTAGTCTATAGTCTAGTCTATAGTCTAGTCTATAGTCTAGTCTATAGTCGTCTATAGTCTATATAGTCTAGTAGTCTATAGTCTAGTCTATAGTCTAGTCTATAGTCTAGTCTATAGTCTAGTCTATAGTCTAGTCTATAGTCTAGTCTATAGTCTAGTCTATAGTCTAGTCTATAGTGTAGTCTATAGTCTAGTCTATAGTCTAGTCTATAGTCTAGTCTATAGTCTAGTCTATAGTCTAGTCTATAGTCTAATCTATAGTCTAGTCTATAATCTAGTCTATAGTCTAGTCTATAGTCTAGTCTATAGTCTAGTCTATAGTCTAGTCTATAGTCTAGTCTATAGTCTAGTCTATAGTCTAGTTTATAGTCTAGTCTATAGTCTAGTCTATAGTCTAGTCTATAGTCTAGTCTATAGTCTAGTCTATAGTCTAGTCTATAGTCTAGTCTATAGTCTAGTCTATAGTCTAGTCTAGGTCTAGTCTATAGTCTAGTCTATAGTCTAGTCTATAGTGTAGTCTATAGTCTAGTCTATAGTGTAGTCTATAGTCTAGTCTATAGTGTAGTCTATGTCTAGTCTAGTCTATAGTCTAGTCTATAGTCTATTCTATAGTCTAGTCTATAGTCTAGTCTATAGTTAGTCTAGTCTATAGTCTAGTCTTAGTCTAGTCTATAGTCTAGTCTAGTCTAGTATAGTCTAGTCTATAGTCTAGTCTATAGTCTAGTCTATAGTCTAGTCTATAGTCTAGTCATAGTCTAGTCTATAGTCTAGTCTATAGTCTAGTCTATAGTCTAGTCTATAGTCTTTCTAGTCTATAGTCTAGTCTATAGTCTAGTCTATAGTCTAGTCTATAGTCTAGTCTATAGTCTAGTCTATAGTGTAGTCTATAGTCTAGTCTATAGTGTAGTCTATAGTCTAGTCTATAGTGTAGTCTATAGTCTAGTCCTATAGTCTAGTCTATAGTCTAGTCTATAGTCTAATCTATAGTCTAGTCTATAGTCTAGTCTATAGTCCTAGTCTATAGTCTAGTCTAGTCTATAGTCTAGTCTATAGTCTAGTCTATAGTCTAGGTCTATAGTCCTGGTCTATAGTCTAGTCTATAGTCTAGTCTATAGTCTAGTCTATAGTCTAGTCTATAGTCTAGTCTATAGTCTAGTCTATAGTCTGGTCTATAGTCTAGTCTATAGTCTAGTCTATAGTCTAGTCTATAGTCTAGTCTATAGTGTAGTCTATAGTCTAGTCTATAGTGTAGTCTATAGTCTAGTCTATAGTCTAGTTAAGTCTAGTCTATAGTCTAATCTATAGTCTTAGTTCTATAGTCTAGTCTATAGTCTAGTCTATAGTCTAGTCTATAGTCTAGTCTATAGTCTAGTCTATAGTCTAGTCTATAGTCTAGTCTATAGTCTAGTCTATAGTCTAGTCTATAGTCTAGTCTATAGTCTAGTCTATAGTCTAGTCTATAGTCTAGTCTATAGTCTAATCTATAGTCTAGTCTATAGTCTAGTCTATAGTCTAGTCTATAGTCTAGTCTATAGTCTAGTCTATAGTCTAGTCTATAGTCTAGTCTATAGTCTAGTCTATAGTCTAGTCTATAGTCTAGTCTATAGTCTAGTCTATAGTCTAGTCTAT